TTGAGGCTAAAGTTAGGAATGATTATGGAATTTTGATGTTTTGACTAGAACAATGGTGAGTGCAAGCATGTTGATTTGTGGAAACATGATAGGCTAAGAGATTTCGATCTTCGCTTGAAACCATGAAAGTATATGGGTTGCATGTTACATTAGACTATGAGAATTTTTGGGAGATTGAGCCATTTGATGATCAATGAAGTATGGGGAACTAGTGATTGTGATCGACAAAGCGTATGGAATTCTAGAGATTGAGAGTTAGAAAATTGTTTATTATGCATAAAGTTGATGTTGTGAAAGACATAAAGTATGAGCCATAGAATCAAAGAATGTGTTGGGAAGTTTTTGGTAAGAAAAATCAATGAATAGATATTTAATGAATGCAAGAAGTGTTAAGTTGAAATTAGTGTTCCTATGTATGCTCGAAAGACTATTGGAGAGTTAGAATTCTTTTGTGGGGATAATTGAAACTTGATTTGAAGTGATAAGATAATTAGAATAGGGAAACTTCAATGTATTAAGACCGTTATGTCAAGTGTTTAAGCTAATTGTATGATTAGGTCGGGACCCATTTGGTGTCAGAATCATTTCATTATAAACAGAATTGAATTTTGAGGCTAATATTAGGTCGAGACCCAAAGACAAGTTTACTATGTCATCTTGACTAACTTTGACGTGTCTTCACTAAGTGACTGGTTCAAATCGTAAGATACCTTCACCTATGCATAAGGCTGCCAAGTGAACCAAGAATTATCATCTTGAATTTTGAAAACTAGTGAAGGATTGTTGGGGAATTTTGTAAAATTAGTAAAATATTTTTTGGGTTTTAAAAAACCGTCCTAATTTTCTTGAGGAAAGTATAAACAAGCTGTGGGAACTTGTCCCATATAGGAAAGAAGAGAAAAAGTGAAGCACCAAATGAAGAGCTTTAGGGAATATTCCTTTGAATATGCATTTGTGGGAAGAAAGCCTGTGTGCATTGCATACACACCGCAAGGATGGTGCTTCGCACCATCTACACATTCGCGGGCGTGGCGGGGCAGTGGTGCAATGTGGCGTGGACAATGGTACAATGTGGTGCTTTGATGGCACACTTTGCACTTAGCAAGGACGCATCGACACATGGCGCCATAAAGGCACTTTTTTATTTGCTACAGAAACCAAGATGGCTATGACGTGGTGTGATCAAGATGTCTGTGTGGCGCTGAGGTAGCAGGAATCAGGTGGAGCACAGTCAGTGCAACACATGGCAGATCGGTTGGTGAACCGAGCCGTCCGATTGGACGGTCGTGTGTCTTAACTCGATCGGTGCAATCATGACCATAGATCGAGCGTATACGCGATCAGACGGTCCAGATGGTGTCCTATCGTGATTGGATGTGTCTAGTCGTTGCTTCTATTGGTGTAAGGAGAGATCTACACCGTTAGAGTTCGATCTAACGATTAGATCTGCTCCGTAGCTGATGAGATACAATCAAGAGACATGACCCTTCTAACCAGGTGCATCCAAGCCTATAAATAGGCTGTGATTCAGCCATATTCATTCATCCTAGAATTCAAATTTTCTTCTCTGCAATTCAATCTCTCTCTCTCTCTTAAATTTGCTTTCTGTTTCTACTAAATTTTTTATATTAATTTCTTGTTAATTTGAATATCAGTGTCTTAGTTTTCTTGATTATATCAAGAGTATTTTGGTCTATCTTCGTCTGTGTAGCCGCAGATAGACTGATCTGCAGATCAGGCTTCATTGTATCCTGGAGGCAGATTTGTTGTTAACCCAATACACACCATCTGGTGGGGACAAATATTGTCTTTAGGAAAGCGATGTCATAACGCGACTTGAAGCATAAATTCTGTTATCAGAATACAGTCATCTAGAAAGAGGTTCTCAAAGAATCAGACGATTACAGCATCTCAAAATTCCAACAGTAATATGAGCTTGGTGGTTAGAGTTCTTAAATTCTGTCTTAAGAGGTGTAAACACGTCGAATTGACTCGTATCCTAGCCCACACTCAAGTACCAAGTTCTGTTAATATCACCCATGAGGACTAGCTCACATGGTAAGTCTCCAGTAAACAATTGGGGAGTCTTAAATTCGAGTCTTTACTTCACCTAATATGTAAAGCTAGTAGATGGTTGCACATATTCAAAATTTTACTCTAGGTCTACCGAAGATGGGATCAATGGATTTCTCATTTTTTAAAGAAAAAATTCTGCTAATATCTCCATTTTAATGGAAAATGAATTTTGAAAAACAATGGTAACCCTATTATATATTAGCCAAGTTTGCATTCAAAATGTAATATATTACTAACGAATTTGCATGGCATGAGATAAAACTGTACATACCATAACCCAGAGCAAACAACCCACATCAGATCTCATCAATCCGTCTCTAATTAATAATCCACCATCATCGTTTTGCTCCAATCATCTAATGTTAGTAAAAATTCATCTCAATTTGAGAAGGAAATTTATGTAAATAAAGTGGGCCGAGCTGGACCTGCTAACTTAAAGGTGTTGGGCTGAGCTGGATCAACTGACTTAAAGGTGTTGGGCCGTGCTGGGACAGTTGGGCTGCTGGAAGGGCTGAGATGAGGGTCATTTATCTCTATCGTTGAGTCTTGCAAGAGCTTAGCGTCAGAGGGAACAAACCAACCTGGCATGCGCAGGGAGGCCGAGCTAAGTATAGCTCGGTGTTGCATTACTTAAGAGCCGTTTGAGGCGCGGCTCGGTAGCTCGGCTGGATGAGAAGAGTCGGGCTAAAAGACCATCTCACTTGGTTGGCAGTGAGGAGGGTACACTGTGGATATGCATTATCCTTTGGGAATGTGAATCCTAGGAGGACTCTACATTGAGGAGTTAGAGTCCTACTAGGATTGTGTCGTTTTGCGAAATCTATAAAAGCTCATGACCACACTTATTCCAGGTATTGCAATTCATACTCTAACTCTACACTGAGGAGTTAGAATCCTACTAGGATTGTGCCATTTTGCGAAATCTATAAAAGCTCATGACCACACTTATTCCAGGTATTGCAATTCATACTTCCAATTTCTTAGAGCTTTTGAATCTTTTGTCAGATTGCTAACTTAGGCATCTGAGGGGTTTCCGGCACACACTCGTTGGCTAGCTCACATTTGTGTTTTCAATTGATTAAAGCGACGACATTTGAGGGGGTGCAAACTCGATCAACAAGATTACACGAGAAGATTATTTTGTGTTCGTACAATTGGCCCCGTATGTGGAAAGTACACAAAGAATCTACCTCTTGATCGAGTTTTGTTCTGAAATCTGTTTCAATGGCGCATAACGAAGATTTATCTCAGTCTGCCATCGATGGATTGACACTAGAAGGGAACAAGAGGCCCGATGATTTGCCTTTTGTTCCACCTATGACAGATTTTGACGCTCAACGACGGAACCCTCACCGGGGAGCAAGGGAGAAGAGAGCACTGAGTCCTCGTTGCTCTCCAAGCCCTGAGGGACAAAGGAGGAGGACGGATTCCTAGAATCTAGAAGATCACATGAGGGAGCAAGATGAATTGATCAAGAGAATGGCCGCAGATATGGAGGCCATAAAGCGCCGGATGAGGGTAAGAGCGTGGTAGGGATTGAGATCCGTGAAGGCAAAATGCATTCTTGCTGCTTAGGAGAACACAGCAGGAAAACAATGCCCATGCATTCAGAGAGCAGAAGCCTTGGGACAGGCAATACACAAGCAAGGACTTCCAGGACTCGTTACTCCAAGTCAGAGAGGACGAGGACTGAAAGGTTTTTCATAGAGAAGAGTAGCTATAGACCTTCCCATACTCACCACAACATCTCGGCACACAGAGTTGCCCAGATCGATGGACTTGCGAACCATACTAGAAGAAAAGGCACGAAGACGAGACGATGCCTAGGCTCGTGACCTACAAAGGATTTTTTCTTTGAAGCGACTGGATCCTCAGACGCACGAAAGTGTCGAGGTTGGAATGCCAGTGTCGTGCCTCACATATGAGCTAGCAGACAAAGCCTTAGCTCGACTGCAGATCTCTTCGTTCGTTCCAGTAATAGAGAATGCTCCCCTTCCCTTAGGCTGTAACCAGCCTAAGTTCAATGTTTATGATGGGAAATCGGGCCGTGCATACACCTCAGTCACTTTCGATAAGTGATGGCCATATACCGGCACAATGAGGCCTTGATGTTCATCCTAGTTCCATCAAGCCTTGGAAAACTAGGTCTGACTTGGTTTGAAAAGTTTCCAGAAGGTAGCATCGCTTCTTGGGCACAACTTGTAGAGGCATTTGTTACCCGATTTAAGACAAACACAAAGACGCCGGTAGAGATAGATCAACTGCTTGCCATTGACATGGGCGAAAAAGAAATGCTGAAATCTTACAACAACCACTATTGAGAGACTTTCAACTAGATAGGCGACCGCCCCACCAACCTAGCTACCGTATAGTACAAGCGAGGGTTGCCAGTGGGACACAAATTGAGAGATTCCATGACCATGGCGCCGTCTCTTACCATGGAAGCTCTAATGAAAAGAGTGCACTAGCACATTAGAGTGGAGGAGGATGACGCTTGCGCCAAGATCAAGCCCGAAACGGTAGCAACATCGGATAAAAGGCCTACAACAGAGGTGAACATGGTCGACAAGGAGGTTCGACCGCACTGAAGCAATATGGGCAAAAGACATAACAATGAAGACCCCTTAGCAAGGAGATTGAAAGTGCACACAGCCATCACCACAGCCTTCAATAAACCCATCCACCGAATTCTTAGCGAGATACGCAATGAACCCTTCATTCGACAACCTGCCAAGATGGGTGAAGCACAAAAGGGTTATGATGAGAGATCTAGGTGCACCTTCCATGACAAAGTGGGGCATCGAACTGAAGATTGAACGCCATTGAGGCAACATCTGGAGGAGTTGGTGGCGGCAGGCCACCTGGATCAATACATTGAAGGAGGAGCACGGCCTGCACCCTAGGAGTGCAATGCGGCAGATGAGATGCCTGTGGACGGCGCGCCTCAAGGAGTGATAAATGTCATAGATGGGATCGTTGAACCTGAGAGGGTTTGTGAGCTCCGTGGGACTATAAAACGGGCAGAGCACATGCATGAAGTGCAAAGTGTTCAACCAACCATAAAGAAAAGGAGGACAAAAGCAAAGACTGTCATAACCTTCTCTGATAGGGGCTTGGCACGAGTTTATAGCCCTCACAATGACGCGCTAGTTATTACTTTACACGTCAACAACTTGGACATTAAGAGAATCTTGATAGGCCAAGAAAGCTCATGCAAAATCATATACTATGAAACCTTTAAGCAATTGAAGTTAGAGGACAAGGATCTAGCGCCAGCTACCTCCCCACTGGTTGGCTTTAACTCAATGCCAAAGTGGCTGGTTGGCAAGATAATTTTGCTGGTCAAAATCGGATCAGTGACTCGACAAGTGGAATTTTGGGTGTTGAAAGTCCTCTCTTCTTATAACATCATCTTGGGAAGAGATTGAAGAAGTGGCTGCACACCAAATCATATCCAAACAGTGCTTCATGACGGTACATGGTGGCCGGGCTGCCAAAGGATTTGTGCATAAATCCTAAACCCTAACCCCTAAACCCCTAATCCCTAAACCCTAACCCCTAAACCGCTAACCCCTAAACCCTAACCCTGAAACCCTAAACCCGAAACTCAAAACCCTAAACCCTAAACCCTAAACCCCAAACCCCAAACCCTAAACCCTAAACCCAATCCCCTAACCCCAAACCCCAAAACCCTAAACCCTAAACCCTAAACCCTAAACCCTAAACCCTAGACCCTAAACCCTAAAACCCTAAAACCCTAAAACCATAAAACTCTAAATCCTAAACCCCAAACTCTAAACCCTAAATCCTAAACCCTAACCCCTAAATCCTAAAACCCTAAACCCCCTAAATCCCGAAATCCTAAATCCTAAACCCTAAACCCTACACCCTACACCCTAAAACCCAAAACCGAAAGTCTTAAAACCCTACAACTAAAACCCTAAACCCTAAACCCCAAACCCTAAAATCCTAAACCCTAAACCCTAACTCCCTAACCCCCTAAACCCCTAAATCCTAAATCCTAAATCCTAAACCCTAAACCCTAAACCCCTAACCCTAAACACTAAACCCTAAACCCTAAATCCTAAACCCCTAACCCCTAAGCTCAATAGAGACTTATCAGAACTGTTGAAATACCCCAATAATGGATCTTTTTCACCACGAAGGTCCATCCAATGGCACGAGTTAACCAAATCACATGCAAATCACCAAAAAATGAGTTTTTACAATCTCCATATTTGAAGCACAAATATATATAAACATAGAGACAGAGAGAGAGAGAGAGGGAGAGAGAGAGAGAGAGGGGGAAGAAAAGCCAATTCAACAAGGAAGGAATAAAGATTAGAAAGAAGGAAAATTGATGCAAAGCCAAGTTGGGTAATTGAGATTAAACAGTAACAAATCAACGTACATCCAGAAAAAAAACATGTATAGAAAGAAAATTAAGCGTAATCGGGAAATGGGTATTAGAAATTCTTACATAAAATCAAAGAAAGCTCGGAAATTGAGATCTAGAAAGCTCTCCATGGCGGAACATCAAAACTGGATGATTACAGGGCTGATTGTTGTCTACCAAGCAATAAAAATATTAGGCACACACAACACAACACAACAGGCGTACAAATCTATAATATATATATACATACATATGAGAGTATAAATATATATATATATATATATATATGTGAAATTGAGGGTTCCGTCACCGGCATCTCCAAAGCAAATGAACGGTGACGGCTGTTTTGGCCTCTGTCTTTTGTCTCTGTCTCTCTCTCTCTCTCTCTCTCTCATATAAATGGTCCATTCGCCTTTTGGGGAGCATGTGAATGTTTGGGATTTTAGACCATTTTTTCTTCTTCTTTTTTTCGTTCGTTCCCACTAAAAGACTAAAGCCTATGTTTGGGAAGTTAGGTTTGAGGATTTTTTTGATTGAAATAGTCACAAAAAATAAAACATATTTTTTAATTCAATAAGATAAAACATCACATTTAATTCATAATCATTACATTCTTTCTCTTACAAAAAAATCAAAAAAAGTTAAAAAAGTTAAAAGTCCTTCTCAAATCAAGCTTTTTAGCCCCAGACTAAAATAACAAAAAAATTAAAAAGCCAAAAAATTAACTCACTTTCCATGCGAAGCCTAAGAAATTTACATCAAACATTATTTTATTGTGACATGATTCCAATAATCAAAACAATCTACTACTTTAACCTAACTCAGCTTATTTGCATACTTAATTTTAAGGAGAAATTATAAATAAATAAAAATTAGAATTTGATTCTTTTCACAAATTAAATCTCAACTTTTGATTTATTTTTAATCTAAATTATTTATCTATTTTTATTAAATAAAATTAATTAAAAAATAATATTTAGAAATTTTATGTATATTTAAATTGACTTTAATAATTAAAATACTTTTTTTTTTTATCAATGTTATGTAATAAAAATAAATGTATAATTTAGATTAAAAACAAATCAAAATATGAAAATTTAAATTGACAAACTTAAAATTAAAAATTTATTTTATTACAGATCTCAAATCTTAATTTATTTATTTTTTTATAATTGTCACTAAATTTAAAAAGTTGCTGAACTTTTGAATAGTGTTAACTTTTTAATTGGCTTTGTAGCTTTTTGACTTTTTTGGCTATTTTAGCCTAGGATTAAAAAACTTGATTTGGGATGGACTTTTGACTTTTTTAGCTTTTTTAGTCTTTTTGTGAGAAAAATAATGTAATATTATGAGTTAGATGTGATATTTTATCTTATTAGATTAAAAAATTTATTTTATTTTTTGTAACTAAGATAGTAAAAAAAAAGCCTCAATCTTGCCTTCCCAAACGAAGGCTGACTGAAGGATAGCGGATATGAATTTTGAAGCGCTCTGGTCTCACCGCACCCTAGCCTACTCATTCACTCCGAGTCAATTATTTTATAACTTGAAATAAGAATATTAGTAAAAATTATAAATAATATAATATATTATAAATAACATTATAGTTAACGAAAATTAAAATATGTAAAGTATTAAATAAATAAATATTAAATATAATATTTTAATTTTGTTATATTAAAAAATTGATATATATATATATATATATGTGTGTGTGTACATATATAATTTAAATTAACGAATATAATCAGAATGAGAAAGCATGAAAAAATAGGGGAGGAAACAAAATTCATTTCTATCCCCACTAATTATTATTTTATTTTTTTGGGTTATGTAGGGTATTTTGAGCCAATTTACGCATACCAGACTAAGTCCTTACAGTCCGAACAAGCCTTTTGAAACAGGATTTATGCCTTGCGGTCCGTAACCCCAAGATATATAATTGTTGGCTACGAGATTCGAATCTAAAACCTAGAAATGAGTAAACCTTCAAATCTCAGTCGTCACCCACTAGGCCAACCACCCTTTGGTTTCTACTATTTTATTGGGTATGTGGATCCTACTTTGATAAAGGGTATCTGTGATTGAACAGTGAAGAAACTATATCATAGGGAGGAAGGTGGGTTACAATTTCTCATGTATATGGTAAAGATTATATGTATTATATGTAGGGCTGTACATGAATAGAGTCGTTCGTGAATAGACTCGAGCTTAATTTGGTAAGAGCTTGTTTGAACTCGGTTCGTTAAATTTTTTTTACATTTGAGCTCGAGCTCATAAATTTTTAATAAAAAGCCCACACATTCTAAAACTCAGCTCGTTAGCTGACTCATTTAATATTTATTATTTATATATTAAATAATATTTAAAAAATGTATAAAAAATAAGATAAACATGTTATTTATATATTTAAAAAATATAAATGTAAATAATAGTTAACTATAGATAGTACATTTATATAATAGTGATAGTAGATATTATTATTTTGATAAAATATTAACTTTTTTTTTAGAATGTTTATACATATTGTATATAAAATTGTATAATCAAGGTTTTAAAAATTCATACGCAAGTATGAATTTTTTAATTTTTTGACTTGTTAAGGTTCGTGAACAGGCTCGAGTTCGAGTCAAGTCTAAGCTAACTCAGCTCGAGCTCGGTTCGTTAAATTTTTATTGAACTTGAGCTTGAGCTCGAGTTTGTTAAAATCTTAATAAACAAGCCCAAACATACTAAAGTTTCGTTTGGAAAGAAGGGTAAGGTTGGGTTTGGGGTTATTTTAGCCACAAAAAGACAAAATAGATTTTTTAGTCCAATAAGACAAAATATCACATCCAACCCATAATCATTACACTCTTTTATCACTTTCTCTCATAAAAAGTCAAAAAAGCCATTCTCAAACGAGGCTTTTACCCCAGGCTAAAATAGCCAAAAAGCCAACCAAATTCCCAAACAAAGCCTAAAGCTCGGCTCGTTTGCAACCCTAATTATATGCACCTTATAATTATAAAAAAAAAAAATTAATCACTCTGTTTAGTTTCAATTTTCAGAATTCACTTTTCAAAAAATTTTACTTCTTCATTAATTTTTCGTATTTTTTTTTGTTTTTATTGATTTGTTTTTTAATATTTTTAAAATTTTTAGACACCTAACATAAACACACTTAAAAAGTATAATATTTATAAATAAAAAAAAAATCTTTTAAAAAATCACTAAATACCAAAAATATATAATAAAAAAAACAAATATTCAGTACATTTTTCATATTTTTATGTATGTATCAATGTTTTAAAATATTTTTTCACAAATATTTTGTTATTTAGATACATCTAAGTAAGATGAATCTAAAAAATTAAAAAAAAAAATTATTTAAAATTTTAAAAATATTCACTAAAAACAAAAAAATACGAAAAACAAAATACTCAGTTTTCAGAAAACTAAATTCAAAAAACTAAAACCAAACACACTGAATATAATTTCATACTTTTTAAATTATTACAACAAAAAAAAAAAAAACAAACAAACAAACAAACAAAATTTGCATATTATTATTACAAACGGGAGCCCGCGAGGCTTGACATATGCCGGCCTGAACCCAGGCCAGGTGAGTTAGGCCAGGCCAAATTTACACCGCTACGTGTAGGGTACTTCAGTTGGAGTAGGAAATTATTTGGTGTTCCCTATGGTATTGCTCAAACTTCACTACAGCTGAATCACTTTGAATGCAAAAAAATTATCACTACTAAATAATAAATTTTACAGTTTTTTTCTATTAATATAAAATAATAAAATTTTAAATTCTGAAAAATGATACAGCTCTACCACATAATGTATTCGGCAATATTATTGTGCACCATTATAAGCACCATGATTAATTCATCAACATTTTTCATCAACATTACTCTGCATGTGTGCATGATTAACAACTTGCCTTGCGCAGGTCATTCAAAGAAGGTCTTCTGAAATTAGCCTCATCCCCGTGTTTGAAGATCAAAGAGGTGTCAATCACTCTTCCATGATCTAACTTTAGAG